GGGCGAATCGGCGGCGACGGGGCGGCACGGCGGCGACTGGCTGGGCGACGGTGCTAGGCAAGCGGCCAGACGAGCTGGCCGGTAGCTGGCGGAGCTCGGCCGCGGCGGACGCAGCGGCGAGCTGCTGCTCGCGCGGAGGAGAGGGAGAGGACAGCCGGTCGGGGCGGTGGCTGACGGACGGCGCGATGGCGGTCGAGCTGGCTGGCGACGGCGGCGGCGCTTGGCAGTCAGGCGGGCTCGGGCGGCGTCGGCTGGGGCGAGCAAAAGCGGAGACGAAGCAGAACTAGACACGGTGGAAGAAAGAAGGAAGAAGAAGGAGAGAGAAGGAAGAAGAAAAAGAGAAGGAAGGAGAGAGAGAGGAGTGGATGGGTCTGATAGGGGGGAAAAGGGGATAGACGTGCGCAGGGGGGAAAAGTGACCGGGGAGAGAGAGAGAGAGAGAGAGAGAGAGAGAGAGAGAGAGAGAGAGAGAGAGAGAAAGAGAGGGCCCAAAGTCAAACGTCATCATCGCGATCCAACGGCCCACGTTCGAACTCGAAAACGATCTAACGGTCTACAAAAATTATAATTAATATTATAGGAAAAAGGGCCAAAAGAAATAACTCAAAACACTCTACGAGGGAGGTCTACTAGTCCAAATCCGCACCCGGTCAAAAATCCACTTTTCACATATCCCGGGTAATCTCGAGGCTGGCCACAATAATATCGACACCGTCCAATTAAATTTGTCCCGGAACTCCGAGAAATTCGACACCAAAGTTTGGGCTCTAAATAACGGCCAAATTCGATCGAGTGCGATTCTAGCGAAATCTCTAATTTAAAAATAACCGAGAGTGATCAGTTCCCGGGCGAGATTTTACTATAAGCACACTGACGAATTACACGTTTTATAAATCCCAACTATGGGCCGAAATTCGGAATGTCACACCGGCACCGGCAGCTGGCCATGGCCAAGAAAGGAAGGGGAAAGAAAGAAAAAAAAAAGAAATAAAAGAAATAAATATTACAAAAATTAAAATATTATTAATAAAAATAAATTTTGTGTAGTTACCAAACGTATTTATGTTCTTTTTCTATTCTAAGAACAGAAATTTTGAACAGTTACCAAACGCCTTCAAATGCTTAGAAATTATTTTCGGGCACGGAATAAAAAAGAATCATTTCTGCCCAGAATCTGAGTCTGGGCACAAAATGGTTGACATGCGCAGCCATAGATGCCAAAGATTGAAGAAAGAATATCTTGCATTGAATAATTGGTATCATGTCAGTTCGTCACATAAGATAACAGTCACATGAAATTATTTGTTCGCATGAATAAAAAGAGAAAAAGGGTTGGCGGGCTGGGAGGATGGGGCATATACATATATTCAACTCCAAAGATCATTGTAGTGGCTTGTATTCAAGGAAGAGCGTTCTTGTCTGTTGACACCTAAAATTTTTGCCCAAAAATCATTTTCGAAAAATTGGAGCTTGTTTTTCCACAAAAATATTTTGGAATTATTCTACCAAAAAAAAAAAAACAGAAGAGCAAGGGCCAAGGATTCGAGTGTAGCTAGCCGAGACCTGAGGGATCAAATTGCAAATGAACCAGCAAGTTGGGGCCAAAATGCAATCTCCAAAGAGTTGGGGGACCAAATCGCAAAATTTGTAAAATTTGCCCCCAAGCCCTTAAATCATCATTTTTACCCCTAATCAAACTTGAAATTGAAAACGGGCAAGGTAAAATTGATCAGATCAAGCCAAAAGGACTAAATTGGCTCAAATCGGGCATTCTCGGGCAAGAAAATGGCTAATTTTGAGGGACTTTCCTGCAAAATTGGGCATGGAAAATTGCAAATTCTGATTATCATCTTAAACTAATATACTTCAACTTGCAAAATGATCAAAATTCCGACCAAATTAATGGATTAAAGCAGTTAAATCAGCTTCCAAAAACCGGTCCACGATTTGGTCTCAATTCGAGGCTGCTGAATAGCCAACTTTGTGGCCCCACCATATCCTACTCAGCCACCCGATCAGCGTGAACTCTGGCCGAGGTGTGAGACCATCATTAGGAGTGCAAATGGACAAAAATTTGCCAGGGATAAGCTGTTGAAGGCACGTGATAATCTCAGTCAAACCTGCTCACTCAACAGCTGCAAAGTATGATGATTTTGGAGTCGAGAGTTGGTGAAGAGACTCAGTTTGCAGGCTTGGTAAGTGGGAAATCACGGGCTAAAAATCTGGTTGGATTCGGTGGATAGGATCTATGAAGCACGTTCTTTTGGGGGATAAAAATAAAGGGATGAGACAAGAGGAGGAGAGGGGACGGTCGTTCCAAAAACTCACCCTCGGACGCAACTCAAACAGAAAATCAACCCAAAAAAGTTCCAGATTGGCTTTTGGAGAGAAAAAGGAGATTTTCATGAGTTTCGAGCCAAAATTATCCAAAACATTAAACTAGATAATGGAACTACATTCAAAGATCTTTCCAACCGTAGGTCGCACGTCCCAAATGGATGTCGGGAAGCCACCCAAAATCCCCTCGAAAAGCAGCCCGTTCTCGGGTCAAGAGAGAGACCCAGAAATTTTCAAGTGTTGGAGTCAGACGGTTACTGGTGAGGGAAAGTGGGAGTTTTTGATAGACATGAGCAACATATGAGGATACCCTTGACTTGTAAATTAAACTAGAATACATATAGTTGGGGTTGGTGTCAAATTAGTCAGAAAAAGAGGTCGTTGATTCTGGTTTTGGAGACCAACAAAAACCTTCGTTGTCAGTTCTTTCTTTGCAGATCTCATTTTCCAGTTTTTGTTTTGATATCAACTGTTGTGCATGTTTTTACCTGCTTTAGCACTACACTTTGCACACACAACCTGCGATCTAAAACCCCGATCGCCTTAGGAAACCCATAGGAGGTGCCAAAAGTGTGGTAACCGTGCGGGGAAGGACCCATGGCTATCCCCTTTTGGTTCCGCTCATTTTCAAATAGTGATAAAGAGGACTGTCCGATGCAAGTGCGGAATGGGGAAAACTCTTTTGATCTATTTAGGATGGGGACCTTTAGCCTTTAGAATCCCCACCTTTAGTGAGCCTCACGAGTCGGCATGCAACTTGTCTTTGTGTTTGACCTATCCACCATTTTGGGTAAAGGTTTGTATCCTATTCGCGTTCAATGATCGCACCTTTTTTTTTATGCGAATTTAAATTTACTTCGTAATAAATAGTGTTTGATTTAAATGCCCCATATGCTTAGATATCATGGACCTCGATGAGCTTCGGGTCCTCCCGATTCCGAAGCGAGCATTGTTGGACATGTGGGATGCTCTCGACGCGAGCAAGACGAACTACGTGGAAAAGAAGATCGGCCACCTCATTTCTCTTCTATGTATCGAGCCCCAAGTGGCATTGATCAAGGCCTTGACCCACTTTTGGAACCCCGAAACCTCGACCTTTGTGTTTGGTCGTCACGAATTAACCCCGACTTTAGAGGAAATCCAAATCATCATCGGCAATGTCCATTCCCTTAGCGTTGTTGATCCTTCCTTAGGTGTGGATCCGGTCCCTCGTTTGAGTCAACTTTTAGGGGTCCCGCCGCCCAAGATTAGGACACTCCTCGATAGAAACTCCAAGGGCCTCCCACTAGCTTTCCTAGAGCAACGATTCCATAGCTTCCTTTCGAGTCCTAGAGCCGAATCCGCTAAAGTCTTCCTATTAGCCTTCTTCGGTTTTGTCATATTTCCCTTCACTCAAAAAACAATGGATCCTACTGTCATCCATGTTATCGATGGGATCCTCATCCTCAAAGGGTTTACCAACATGATCCTCGCCGAAATGTTCATCTCTCTCAATCGTTTTAAGAAGGACAAGCATGTAGCCCTTAGAGCCCCCTTAGGTATTCTCCAAGTTTGGTTTGTGTCTCACTTGAAGCAATTCGGAGGAAATTTAGGCATCTTTCATGTTAGCAAGGATATAAACCCCCTTACCCAATTTAGAGAGATAGAAAAATTCCTTCGCCCTTGGACATTTCGTAAATGGATGGATTTCCTCGAGAATATCACTCCTAAGCAAATTCTCTGGCAAGCCCTTTGGGTCTGCCTTCTTAAGGTACGTTTCACAAGCGGTCATGACGACCCGATTCCACTCTTAGGTTTGACAGGATCAACTTCTTATTATCCTTTAAGAGTTGCTCGTCAATTTTATGTGCTACAAGAAATCCCTCCTCCTTTAAAGTCGGGTTTATTTCGTTTCGATTTTCGCAATGGGGTCGTCAAGGGAGATCAACTCGAAGAATTGAAAAGTGAGGTGAAAAAGATCATCGATTTGCTCTACCATTGCCAACCGAAAGATGTAGAGTAGGCTACGGAATTGGAAGGGTCCATGAAGGAACACCATGCATCAAAGGAGTACATAGCGCGATGCATCGATCCCGAGCTCACCGTTACCATCCCAAGGTTCCCCGTGATTCCGACCCCAAAGGAAACCCAAATGGGGCGGATCATAAGGGAGAGAGACGAAGCCCTGGCTGCGGCAGAGCATTGGCATGAAGCCTACAAACGCGTCCGCAACATGCTTTGAAGAGGCCCGATATCCAAGACTAGTCATGTTCCATTAGTTTTTTTTTATAGACTTTTAGTACAAATGTTTAAGTGTGCTTTTAGTTATTTAGCAGATGTATAAGGATTTCCTTTCATAAATTTTAATGTAATTAGTGAAATTCCCTCTTTTGTATGTCGAATGGAACGTGACATGAGCATTTTAATCAATCACTATGTGTTACTCCCTTTTAATTGTATAATTTCTTACAATGAAACTTTTATAAGAAACTGCTTACACGAGGTGCGGCTTGTGCGAAAAGTTTCTTATTTCAGTTTCATCATAAGAAAATATAAAGTTAAAAGGTGCGCAATTTCCGTTCTGTCGCTTCACCGCGTACTGATTTCGACCTTCTTGTTTTATCAGGTCCCGAAACTACGGCTTCGAGGCAATCGCCTATTCGGACACGATCAAGGGCCACACGAATGAATATCGAGGAGCAAAATGCCCGTTTCGTCGCTCTTGATGACAAGATCAATGATCTTGCGGCTCAGCTCACCCAATTTGCCAGTGATATGAGGGCCGCGTTAATAGCACCAAATGCTGGTCAAGTTGCACCTCAAACTGTTCCCGAGCCCGTAGAAGGACCCGCGAGAAGGAACGTTATTGAAGAGGCATTGGGTTCTACACCTGTAGTGGTCGAACTAGACCCTATTTCGGAAGCCATCACTGCCCGTTTGGAGGAAGAACACAACAAAAGGTTCGCGAAGATAGAAGAGAAACTCCGTTCGCTACGAGGATACGAAGAGCACATGATCGAAGATTTGTCTCGATATGCACAGATGAGCTTTCCTGAAAAGTTCAAGATTCCCGATTTCACTAAGTATGATGGGACTGGAGACCCAAAGATCCACTTGAAGTACTATTTGAACAGAATGGCGAGGTATGCCCAGAATGTCCCATTAATGGTTCAGACTTTCCAAGAGAGTTTGACGGGGCCTGCATTGCAATGGTATGTGTTGTCAGAGCTTGAGAAGTTCAAAAAGTGGGAGGAGTTGGCTGAGGCTTTCGTCTTGCAATACAAATACAATACAGAGATAGCCCCCACACGAGAAGTGCTTACTCGAACCGAAAAGAAACGAAGTGAGTCTTTCAGAGCCTTTGCTCAAAGATGGCGTACTCTCGCCGCTCAAGTTCGACCCCCGCTCAGCGAAAAGGAGCTAGTGGATCTTTTCCTCAAGGCCTTACCTGGTGATTTCTATTTAAAGTTGGTGGGTTCTGGATGCTTGACCTTCTCTCAGCCGGTAGATGTCGGAGAGAGGATAAAGGGGGCTATGCATGATGGTAGATTGAGCGAAGGGACTAGTCGAAAGGTCCTGAATAGAAAAGAAAAGGATGTGGAGATCGCGTATGTACAAGCGCCGGTTGTGACAAGGCCCCCTGCCTCGTCCTCCCAAGGCCCGTCTATGTTTCGAGACAGGGCATATTAGAGTTATGAATTCAAAAAGAAGGCACCGAGGCAATTCACTCCTCTGCCTAGACCTTTATCTAAGTTGCTGCCTATGTTGTTGAGAAGGGGAATGATAGCCAAGGAAGTACCTCGGGATAATCCTCCAAAATTCCCTGGGTTTGATTTGTCGAAGTCTTGCGAGTTCCATAGAGGCGAGAAGGGTCATGATATAGATAACTGCTTCACTCTCAAGAACAAAGTTCAGAATTTACTCGACAAGGGCATTTTATCCTTCAAGGATCCACAACAAAACCCGTTGCCTAATCATGCTGAGAATGTCAACGTGATTATTGAGAAGGGTGATGAGAGTAAGCAAACCTTTAATGTGGATGTTCATAAACTTTATAAATTACTAGTATCAGCTGGACACTTTGAAGATGGGAAGGATATTCTGATGGAAGAAAAATTGAAGTGTATCACTCGGATGGTGGACATGGGAGTGATATATAGTATGAAGGAGGATAGTATGACGGCCATGACAGATGTTATTGATTCATTTTATGGGAAGGAGTTAGAGGAGATACCTGTTGAGCCTGCAGAAGCTAACGAGCCAACTAATGAGGGTGTGTCAGAGAATCTAATTGTGACCAACAGTGAAGGAGAGAATTCGTATGATGATCTTGGGCCTCAAGCTAGCAATGTGGATTGGAATCATGAGTTCATAAAACTCGCTCACGAGAATGGGGAGGTGGTTGACATACTGGGTCAACCTAGCGGCAAATTCGACTATCTTGTGAAGTATTCACCACCACCCAATTTCTTTATCGATCCCAAGGATGTTGTTCCTGATGGGTGGGGAGGTATGGATGACCCACTTGAGCCTGAGGAGGAGACGGTCAACATGATCACCCCCGTGGTCATCGACCTATCAGTCAAAGAAGATCCATCAGATCCCGATGAGCGAGATGTCGGGCGTGTAGTCATCGACCGTATGGCCGAAGAGTTCGCTACCCTAGAGATCGATGATTGCATCATGGAGCCAATGGTGATTGAACTCCCACCTGAGGATGAAGAAGATATAATAGTAGAGAGAACCTCAAGTTACAACCCCAAGGCAGTTCCTTGGAGTTATAAGACGGACGAGATTGACGCCATCACATGTTCAGGCCGTTACTACGCACCTGCTGGGGTAGTTGAGAAGAAAGCCATCTCAGATGAGGAAGCGGAGCAGTTCTTGGCAATTGTCAAGACAAGCGAATTTAACGTCGTGAACCAGTTAAGAAAGATGCCTGCCCAGATCTCTCTTTTGGATCTCTTTAAATCATCCGAGAAGCATATAAATGCACTATTAAAAGTCCTTAATGAAGTGCATGTGCCAGAGGATATCGATGACGGTCAGCTAAAAGAGTTCGTTGGATCTGTTTTATTAAAAGATCAAATCTCATTTGCCGATGAAGACTTCCCCGCTGAAGGCCGCAACCATACTAAGGCGCTACTTATCTCGGTAAAGTGTCGTGATAAAATGGTGGCGAGAGTGCTGATTGACAATGGGTCGGCATTAAACATTTGCCCACTTGCCACCCTTCGTCGTCTGGGGGTGAATGAAGAAAAAATGTTGGTATCTAAATCTACCGTTCGTGCTTTTGACGGTATGAAGAAAGAAGTAATTGGTGAAGTTGAGCTTGAACTGCTAATTGGTCCAGTCCTTTTTCTGGTCAGCTTCCAAGTCCTAGATATTCCTAGTGCCTTCAATTTTCTACTAGGACGACCTTGGATACATATCGCCGAAGCCGTACCCTCGAGCCTGCACCAAAAGGTCAAATTCATCGTGGATGGGAAGTTGGTAACTGTTCATGGAGAAACTGACTTTAAGGTCTTTCACGACACTGCGGTCCCATACGTAGAACCCGAGAACAAGACTGAATCAAGTTATCAAACTTTGGAGTTAGTCTTGATGGTCCATTTGCCCGTTGGAACAATCATGCGAAACCTAGAAATCGCTAAGCCTTCAATCATATCAAGCAAGGTGTTGCTCGAAAATGGTCATGTCCCCGGATCTAGCCTGGGCTGCATGGCCAAGGTATTAAAGAGCCCCTTCAAGTCTCCAGGTGGCGCAAAAGGATGGGTCTAGGTTATCATGGAGGCGATTCTGGTGGCCGAGATAACCATGGAGGAAGAAGTAGTTTCGGAGGTCGAGGTCAACATAGGGGCCGTGGAGGCCATGCTAATTATGGTGGCCAAGGAAGCAATGAAGACCGTGGTGACTATGAAGACCTAGCTAATCATGGAAGTTACGAAGGTCGGGGGAGTTTATTTGGGTTAGGAGAAGGTCGGAAGGGCTTACTCCTTCCGGCATTGAAAGAGATATTCCCGGATCCACCCAAGCTGCTGCAGGAGGAGGAGATCATTCTTGGTCTCGTTGATTTATTCGAGGAGGAGTTTGCTTGTGCTATCACGGAAAATGAAGAGGCCGAGCCTTCTGTTGCCACCACCAACCCTTCTGAGTGTATATGTGAGTCGGATTTGCTTGACGAAAATTCCTCCGGGACCGATGATGACAAGGATGACTGTGATCGGAAAAGCATCGAACAAGATTGGATCCGGCACGAAGAGTTTCAGCCATTGACCGCAGAGCCTACAATCACAATAAATCTGGGCGATTCAGAGAATGTTAGAGAAATCAAGATTGGACCTAGCCTTTCTGAAATCAAGACTAGAAGGATGGTCGACCTTTTAAAAGAATACCAAGATGTGTTCACATGGTCATATGCGGATATGCCGGGGTTAGATAGGGAAATTGTAAAGCACGCTCTCCCCACTTATCCGAGTATCCCGTCTAAGAAACAAAGGCTCAGAAGAACAAAGCCTGAATTATCCAAGAAAATCGAAGAAGAAGTCATGAAGTTGTTGGAAGTAGGCTTCATACAAGTGTCGCACTACTCTGATTGGATCGCCAATGTAGTCCCTGTTATGAAGAAGGATGGTCGAGTCAGGGTTTGTATTGACTACCGCGATCTGAATCGAGCAAGTCCAAAAGATGACTTCTCGCTGCCTCACATCGACGTATTGGTCGACAGCACCGCGGGATTTGAGTTATTCTCTTTTATGGATGGGTTTTCGGGTTACAATCAAATTCGGATGAAAGAAGAAGATAAAAGTAAAACTTTCTTCATTACCCCTTGGGGGACCTTTTGTTACAAGGTAATGCCTTTCGGCTTGAAGAACGCCGGGGCAACGTACCAAAGAGCAATGGTCACCCTGTTCCACGATATGATGCATAAGGAGGTGGAAGTCTACGTAGACGATATGATTGCCAAATCCAAACATGGAGAGGACCACATCGAGGTGTTGCGGAAGTTGTTTGACCAACTTCGAAGATTCAAGCTAAGACTTAACCCCGCCAAATGTGTGTTTGGGGCAAAGTCTGGGAAGCTATTGGGGTTCACGGTCAGTAGTCGAGGCATTGAAATTGATCCATCAAAGGTTAAGGCCATTTGTGATTTGAAGCCTCCTTCAACTGTCAAAGAGGTTCGGAGTTTGCTAAGGAGACTAAACTATGTGGCCAGATTTATTTCTCAATTGTCTGAGACGGCTAAACCTTTTTTCAAGCTCCTGAAAAAGAATGCCAAAGTTAAGTGGGCTACTGATTGTCAAAATGCATTTGAGAAAATAAAACATTATCTTTCTCATCCGCCGGTCCTGGTGCCACCTGTCCCTAGAGTGCCATTAATACTCTACCTGACTATCCATGATGAGTCGTTAGGAGCCTTACTAGCTCAGAAAAGACCAAGCGACGACAAAGAATGTGCGATATACTATCTCAGTAAGAAGTTTACTTCGTCCGAAATAAATTACCCTGTAGTTGAGAAAACGTGTATGGCTTTGGTGTGGGTGTTACACCGCTTACGCCAATACATACTCCATCATCAGATTCTGCTTGTAACTAAGAATGATCCCATCAAATACCTGCTGGAAAAACCTGCGTTGGTCGGAAAGGTAGCAAAATGGCAAGATTTGGTATCCGAATTCGACGTCCACAGCATGGTGCAGAAATCCGTCAAGGGAAGAGCTATAGCTGACATGTTGGCAGAAAACTTTGAAAGGTCGGAAGACCATGATCAGTCGGATCCTATAGAGGAGCGCATTTCAGAGATAGTGAACGATAAGTGGACTATGTACTTCGACGGTGCCGTTAACCTGGCTGGTTCTGGGACTGGGGCAGTTCTTATCTCCCCGACAGGTCAACACAACCCTGTGGCCGCCAAGTTGGTATTCCCTTGTACCAACAATATCTTAGAATACGAGGCTTGCATACTTGGATTGCAGTTGGCCGTCGACATGAAAGTTAGGAAACTGCAGGTCTACGGCGATTCCGCCCTCATCATTCTCCAGACAGAGGGTCAATGGCGAACTCGTGACCCCAAGTTGATCCCTTATCACGAATTCCTTGAGGAGTTGATAAAGGAGTTTGAGGAGATTTCCTTTGAGTACTTACCCCGTTCGCAGAATAAGTTTGCCGACGCCCTGGCCACTTTATCATCAATGCTACAAGTCATGGAAGGGCTAGACATCGAGCCACTGAAAATCGAAATACTGACACGTCCGGATTACTGTTCGGCAATCGCAGATGAACCTGATGAGAAGTCGTGGTATCACGACATCATGAACTATCTTCAAAGGGGTGAATATCCTCCTGGAAGTGAACTGACGGATCAGAAATACATAAGGAAGCTAGCGTCAAAATTCTTCATCAGTGGCAATACTCTTTACAAGAGGTCCTTTGACTCAATTTTGTTGAAATGCGTCGATGCCAAAGAAGCTAATCAGTTGATGAGGGAAATTCATGAAGGAGAATGCGGGCACATGAACGGTCATCTTTTGGTCAAAAAAATCATGAGACTAGGTTACTTCTGGATGGCTATGGAGGCTGATTGTATTCGGCATGTTCGTTATTGCCATCGGTGCCAAATCTATGCAGATAAAATCAACGTACCGCCAAATGAATTGCGTCAAATGTCCCAGCCATGGCCCTTCTCAATG